TATTTACTTTTTAATTTTATTAAAATATTATTGTAAATTTGTATTTCTATCCAAACTAATTGTTATATATTAGATTTATTTATTTGTAAGGGTCATACCCTTGTTTTTTGAATCACATTTATTATAATATTGTAATTAATAATTATACTAATTACAATGATAACTAAGTCTTATATTTTATTTATTAATTTATTTATTTTAATTATACAGACATCCAGATAGAAAAACAACGTCTCAATAATCACCTATTTTTACAAAGTAATGAAAATGCATAATGCACCACTCTTAAATTCATTTTCAAATTAAAATAACATTTTTTTAGAGATTTATAGTGATTTTTTAAATATTTTTTGAGACAAAAATTGCCGATTCCACTCGATTCTCGATCCAAAATGCCGATTCACCTGTCCGGATGGTTTTTAGATGCGCGATCCGAAGCACCGATCTGTTTTTTAAACCTCTGGTCTAAACTATCCCCTAGGTCAGAACCGGCCCAAAGTATTTATTATTGTCGGCTTGCTGATTTCTGAACCACTTGTGCAAACAACCACCGCATGAACAGGTGAGAACACCTTAAATGTCCCTTTGTTGCACGGTGTACGGTACACCAGAGGAACATCAACCATCCTTTTTTGTGATGGACAGTGAAGATCGATCCTCGTCAAGTTTATTGCCTCTCTACCATCCGTTGCGAGGAACGTATGGTGGATGTGCGGCCATAAATTAACTTACCATAGACCAACGTATTGCAGCCATACATTAACTTACCGTAGACCAACGTACGTGTACTCTCATGGAAGACGCCATAGTTCAAAAAATCGAACCAGCTTCAAAAACTGGCCAATGGCCAGGTCCGAGTAATCGGTAAGTTGGCTGGTTCAATCGGCCTAATCAGACAGGACCTGGCTGGTCCAAAAAATAATTTTTTTTAAAAAAATGAAAAGTATATCTAAATAATGATTAAATAAGCACATCAAAAAAAAATTTGAAAAGTAGTAATAAAAATAGATTTAAAAAATCGATTTGTGCCCGGAGGTATGTTCAATTTTTTTTAAAAGATGAAAAAAATATAAAAATAAGTATTCATGACCAAACTACTTTCCAATGTTTGCCAAAATGATAAAAAACATTTAAAAAAGACATTACAAACAAATCCCTTATTTTATGGGATTTTATTTTATTTTTTTGTATTTTTTAAAAATACTCGGCCAGATCATCAAAACCGGATCGGCCAGTGCCCGGTTCCAGTTGACCAGCCGAGTTTGCTAACACTCGAAGAAGACACTCCACCCATAATCAAAGCTCAACCTTGTACAATCTTTTCCCACTCCTTTTGGGCTTCAATGGTTGATTCGTATTGTTGAACCACCGAAAAAAAGAAACTCTTAGAGCCCAACACTTGAGTTGGACTCGTTGAGATCCAAACTCGAGACATATGATGATTTAACCGAGTCAGGATATCCAACCCAGGCGAGTCTCAACAAAAAAAAGTACATAAAAAGAGTCGGAATATTCAACCTGCTTGAGTCTCAAAAGAAAAATACATAAAATTCATTTGAATAATGTCAACAAAAAATAAAATAAAATTCAATAATTCAGATCAAGCTTACCAGTTAGTCATCTAGACAAGGTACCTTCTCATGTCTAAGTGTATCTGACGCACCCATGCAGAGGTCACCGTTGTTCATAACACTGGTCCAAGTGTATCAGACACGCCCATGCAGGAGTCACCATTTTTCATGACACTGGGGGCATCTAATAACATGCGATATGCAATCCAGCTACAAAATGAGATATCACATATGATCATCATATTTTATTTATTGACAGGTTAATATGTAAGATTTGAACTCTTGACTTTCTATTGTGGCACTGCTGCCCTGACCACCCAAATCAAGGGTCCAGTCCTCAGGTTTACATATAATATAAGAGTAGCATAAACATGTGTAAGCTAGTAATTGCTAACTTATGAATGGACGTGCTCTAGCCCAATTATGGTTATAAGATTATGTAACCTAGAAGTCATAGTGCTCTTCCACCAACATGGCCGTTCATGATTTCTTGACCAACTATGGACCAAGTCACTTGGGCACTGCACCGGGTGTGCTGCAAGATAACTCAACCACGATTCATGAATGAAATAATAGGCACCATTAGGCGTGCCAACAGGATGGGCCCAAGCCCAGGCCCAAAATGGCATTTTGACATGACCCTGGCCATGCTCAAAAAAAAAAAAAAAAAAATTAATATATATATATAAAATTTCTTATTTAATATATAAAGCATGTATCTAATTTTTTGGGCCAGGCCAAGGTAGGAGCAAATCTAGCAGAAAATCATTTCAAGCCTACCACGTTTGGGTCTCGGCCAGAAGAGCAAGCCTCATCAAGTAGCCCAAATCCGGCCCGAAAATCAGGACTCTCTTGGAAGCCCGCGGGCTGGACTAGGCTCCTTGGTAGCCCTAGGCATAATGGATTTAGGTACAAATCAGCCAAAGAAAGATGATGAGTAGTTGACCAAGATAAGCACTAAATGCTCTTCTAGTTATTTACTCCAAAATAGGGGAGAGTGTGTGAGAGCTTGTTTTTAAAATAGCTAGATTTATTTTTAATTGGAAAAAGTTTAGATACGGGAGAGGCCTTAAACAATCAAAATTAAAGTGCACCTCAAAAATTTATTAGAAGTGATTGTTTCAATGCACAAAATCTTCAAATTCATTATCTCAACCTCAAGATAAACAAACATGAAAAAAATGGATTTCAAGTATCGAAAATAGTGCATCTTATAATACAGTTTTGGACGGTCAATTTTTAAGATTTTCAAGTGTTCATAGATCTGCTCGATATACATTATTTTTTAAGATTTAAAAATTATAATTAGATATAAAAATAAAACTTCAAACCATTACAAAGATTTCCAATATTGAAACAGCATCTTTCGATGCCTTACTTTGATGGTTTAGGGCCTCGGCCTTATACAGACCACACACTTTCTATTTTAATGTGGTAAAAAAAATGTGGCCATTTGTAAATTCTTTTGTAGCAAATATATTCTGAAACACGGGCTGATATTTCAATTTTAGAATTGTTTTTCATTAGAAGGTAATTTTCCTATTACAAGAAGTGATTCGTCATTGCTTGTAAATGCTATTAAAGGGCGTGCATGACTCCATTGCACTTCACATGGTAGCAGCCAACTGTCGTCACAAACTCTCATATCATAAGTGGAGCATTTTTTACATCTATCGGGAGGCCACCATGATAATCGATACAATTGCCAAGAAGGGGATATCTCTCTCTGCTGCTACAGTTTGTTGTGCTAGACCGCCAAATTTCATTTATCTGTCTTTAATTCACGATTTGGCATAATTGCCCTATGACAGAATTGTAACAATGATTTGAATCTTCTCTACTTTTATTTAATGAAAAACAGGTAGGGGATCTTCTCCCCTACCGGCTTACCCAAAAGAAAAAAGAAAAAATTTTGCAGCCGTAAAATGTCTTTGTGACGTTGAGTTAACTCAACACACCTCCTCATGATCAACCATCCCATTTAATTTTAAGATCAAAAGATTTTGTGCTTTCGCTGGTTTATGCTCCTTCGGATAAAAAATACCATATTTAACAGTAAATTTTGAATGATAATTTTCATGGATATAATTTGACAGAAAAATGGAAAACAGGAAATCATTTGCAATTGTACTGCACTTTTCAATCTCATATCACTATTTTTCTTACAAAAACTCACTCTAATCCTTTTGTTTTTCCAAAATTACTCATTTGGCAATTTTAAAGTAGATCCCAAAATTTTAGATCGAGAATTTATGCCTAAATAGGTCTTTTACATTATGGACCAAATCTAAAATATGCCCCTACAGGAGCATGCTATATACAATCTTGAGTTTATAAATAAGAAACTAGATAAGAAGATAGCTGAATCTCGCTGCTTCATCCCCATGAAACCTCTATTAGAACTCGATGGACGACTCTATTCATACTTTGGCAAACCCAACCATAGTTATCAAAACGCTTCTTCCACTTAGACAGCTAACCAATGCTTTGTACGGTTTGATCTAACCATTGCTAGTTGAAAACTAATATAAGTTTCCCCTCCCCCAAGAAACCATACTTTTATCTTGCTATGCTCTTTCACACAAAATGAATATTGTGTTTAGATATTTATATAGAGATTCTATAGTATGAGATCATTTACTATTACTACAAGAATGTCACAATCACTCATAATCACTAGATGTCAAGTTGGACAGCTTGAATTGTATCACAAAGTCTAAGAAATTTGTTTTTAAATATTAAATCTAGTCAAGGGCATACTTACAACCACCCAATTTAAAATCCTCTGGACAAGAGTAATTGTGACCTTGTTGTACTAGAATAAATGATCTTTTTGTATAAATTTTCATTTACATAACATTATAAATCAATTCACAAATGACAATACTAAAAGAAATACCAAACACCAAAGGTTTAAGGGAAAGAAAGGAACTTGACCACATGCCTGAACAGTTTACTCGTATAAATAGAGCACTCCCCACTAAAAATGAACGAAAACATGATGGAACTTTTATGTACCAATAAACTTGTGTATATGCATATAAATTATGCACTGTAAGGAGAGAATAAATAAATGGGTGTGGTTTTCGTAGGGCTGCATCTTTACCATATTTGGTTAAACAACACCTAAGAAAATACACTAGAAAATGCAGTTCCGGCACCAAAAAGGCGAAAGAGCCTTGCACTGGCCTGCAACACTTGAAACAGGTGGTCAAAAAAGTGGTAAATAGACCATCTTTAGGGTTTGAAATCAATTTTTATCATACACATGATTATAGAGGTTGGGATGATCAATTTGTCAGTTTTTCAATGACAAATATATATTTTCCATCAAAATTTCTGCAGCTTAAAACACAATTGCCAGACAATACTTTCCTAAATAAAAACACAAAACTGCAGAGTCATCAATGGAAGGGGGGGGGGGGGGGGGGTGTTAACACTAGCTGCATACTCAGCAACCAAAAAATTAGGATAACCTTGAAGTTAATACACTAATGTACAAATATACAAACACAAATACACACATACAGTGGACCACTCGTAGAAGAAAAGGCATGGTTGGGTAATATAACTAGGAAGAAGCCATGGTATCATAGCCATAAATAAAATGGTATCCATCTCAGCGAGGAGCAATGCGCGGGATCACGCCACTAAGAAGATCGCTTCCCGAAACATCATATGATAAGAATGGTTTCTTATCAGAGGATGAGGAGGGAGTTAATTTTCCAGTGGCTATGTCCACGGATTCAGATGGCAGAGAGTCAGACTCTGGGGTCATTTTCCAGATGATTTCGAGCTCTCGAACCACCTCGGTCATGGCAGGTCGGCCCTCTGTGTCATCAAGGCAACACCGAAAAGCCAACCTTGCAAACTGTTCGATACATTCCGAAGGGTAAGAGCCCATATGTGGGTCGACAATTGAGCATAGCATTCCTGATTGGTACGCGTTGTTTACCTGGGGATTAAGAGAGAGAATGATTCAGCTTCTAGACCAAATTATGCAGTATAAATGATAAAACAGTAAGTATGCTCTCTCTCTCTCTCTCTCTCTCTCTCTCTCTCGCAACACACACGCGCACACACATAATTTCTTATTATTACAGCAATTTTGCTGATATTACTTTCTTTTATTGATTTTATTAGTTATTTTGCATAGGTGATTACTCCATTAAGTAAAAGTAGAATGCTAGGAATCAACACAGGATTATAAAACTCAGGCATTACAGTATACACAGTTGCACAAAACCGACAATATGGTGGAAAAAATCTGAAAGGCCCTGAATAAATAATCAAGAATGGAGAAAGAAATAAATGGAGTAGGGTAGCCAAGAGGTGGTAAAGCAATTTTTTGCACACAAATATAATTGTTATGTAAAAAACACCATGAGCAGTATTAAGACTTACTTCTCGGACAATATTTTTCCCATGTGAAATGGGATGCATCCCAGTTAGGAGCTCGTGAAACACAACTCCCAAACTATACACATCGCTTTTGTCTGTTAACTTGTGGGTTAAGAAGTATTCTGGATCAAGGTAACCCTGCAACAAGATCCAAATTATATATGACAAACTGAAACTCTCAGCTTCCAAAGAGCAAAGATTACCAAAAAAAATGACATGCAATCCATTGGTCATCCAAATATGGCTATCAAGCAACCATTGCCCTAATATATTCATAAAAACAAGATATAAATATGAAGATTAAAGCACATAGATTCATAAATTGATTTTATTTGGTAAATTTTGCCAAATTTATTCATCTCCAGTCTCTTCAAAAAATTGTACATTAGCACCTGCGTAAGACATGTTGCTTGTGTGCATTGTATCCTCAACCCTAAACCCTACGGATTATCATTACACAAAATACCAAAAGAAGCCATTATTGAACTCATATATATATATATATATATATATATATATATATATATA